AACCGTACAACTTTCGTCTGAAACATTTTTCCGTATATCCCATATTTTTCGAGATATTTTACCGGTCCGGTACTTTTCCCTCACCCTGTATAATAATAAAGTGTCTAGAATTACATAGGTAGCATAATATCTCAAAAATGTATAATAATAATGACGAGGCGTTAAGGATGACAGTGGAAAAATATATGTATATAAATATGCGAATATGCAACATGCGATATGCGAACATTTCAGCAATATCGCGTATTCGCATACTTACATATACATTTTTTGCACTGTCTTCCTTAACAGCTCGTCATTATTACTATAGGCCGTTGTTCTATTATTTGTGTTTAAACATAACGAGCACGTTGTTTCTGTTGTAAGTATGATATTTCCTCGAGATTATCTCCAGTACGTTTAGGACGTCTTGTAATATTTATAAAAAGGATGATCTGCGCGCTGTATAAATATTTTTTACAAATGGATACAAAATTATTTTTTGTCATACTAAATTTAGATACTTAATTTAATTCGAGAGTATCACATATGTATATGATGTTTATAATACGAAAAGAACTTGGAGGATATCTCCGGATAGAAAGTTTGGATCGTTAAAAAATATAATTAATACGTATATATTTCTTACAGCGGCGCAATGCATGCAAATAGACGCTTCTATCAACGGTACAATACACCCCAATATGGTGCAGGTATTACTAGGGAGATTTAACTTGTTCCAATCGCAGGAATATGCCAATCATAATATGCCAATACATCTGCCAATCTGAAAGTCGCCAGCTATGAGATTCATCCCAATTTTAAAAATGGTATCAACGCCTATTTTGATCTTGCGGTTTTGAGCCTCAAGAACGTCGTCGAGTTCAATCCTTTTATCAAGCCTATTTGTCTATGGTCCGGTTTAACTCAATTTGAAGACGTTATTAATAAGACAGGGTATGTCGTAGGATGGGGTGAAGATGAATTGAATCGTCATGATATCGAAGATCAACGGATGGTGAGGGCAACGATAGTGAGCTAAGTAAGTAATTAAATGCTATTTTAAAATGACTGTTCATTACATCTATCTGTGACAAATGTATTTGTCAGCGTTATTGTAGACCTCGAGTTAAAGACAAATTTGTTTGGCAAATTGCAGGGTACCTGTCTCTGGTCTAATGCTAGATACTTTAGTTTCGTGTCGGATAACACCTTTTGCGCTGGCAACTTAGACGGATTTAGTCCTTGTAACGGTGACAGTGGAAACGGGCTGATATTTTTTAATAATATCACGGGCAGTTATGAGTTGCGTGGTGTTGTTTCGCGTGTACTAGGTGAAACTATGCAATGCGATCCACAAAAATACGTCGTTTATGTTGATGTGGCCAAATACATACCCTGGATTCAACGACATATTTCGACGTAACGTTCGTCTTGCGTTGCAAAATGCTATACATGTTAATCGATATGCTTCTTTAGGTAAAGTTTATTCGAAGACGCCGTACATATGTACAGTTACGCGTGAGGATTAAACAATCATGAATTCTGTTTTCGGTTATTCATGTCTCTTGTAATGTGTTCCCAATCTGAATACGAAACATAATGAATAAGCTGCCATACATATAACTATCTATCATATTGGACTTCTTAATTATGAAGAATATTATATTAACCGTCTCGTTCTCGATGATATAGAAAGAACAATGTAGTACTGCTCCGCAGTGCTCTGAAATTCACAACATATTTAGTGTCACGTTCCGTCAAGTATGTGTTTCGTCCGTTTTTCGGTCAACACATTTAAGTGCTTTACCGGGGATTTGGACTCGATTGTGTGAATTTATTAGTTCTAATCAGTCTTCCGGGCCAAAGAGATAACGATTTCGATAAACTTTGTAACGAGGATCGTCTTTATTAATAAACTTATAATTTAAGTGATTGACCTTGAAATCTATTGGAATTAGTTTATAATTCTGTGATTTCACGATTGAGGCTTTGTCTTTGGATTCAAATTCTCTTAATTTAAGCAGAAAAGGTAAAGGATCTTTATTAGATTTTAGCGCCTGCTTGAGTTGGTATTTAACGCGTTTGATTTGAACTCGTTTTCCTCTTTTTCTTTTGGTCATGGAGTAGGGATGTTGGTTTCTGTCCGCCACACTCTTTGTCAGCGATCAGAGAGGAATTGAGAATTCTGTCCGCCACACTCTTTGTCAGCGATCAGAGAGGAATGGAGAATTCTGTCCGCCACACTCTTTGTCAGCGATCAGAGAAAGTGAGAGGATAGATCTTGGATTTAATTAATTATTATCTCTCTTAATATAACTCTTACTTTATTCTCAAAAATCCAAAACTTCTTGAAATTCGAATCAACAATTTAGGATATAGGTCCGAGTCAAGTCGATTCTCAGCTTTAGTTTTAACTCTTATTTGTCGAGATAGTGAGTCGTGAGTTTATGGATTGTTAAAGAATTAATGGATCAATGGATTGTCGACTCGATCCAGCTCGCATTTATATAGTAAATTTCCCCCTACGTTATTTCTTTAAGTGGAGGAGGAAGGTATTGTTCTCCGTTCCTTCACCGCAACTCTACCCTGGTAACAGTTGTCACTGCTCCCGAGGTACCGCTTCGTCGCGAGTTGTAATTTGATAAACGATCGATAAGGAATGTTCCGAGAGATTTCTCAGGAGTTTCTTTTAAAACTTTAATTTAAATAATTTATAGTTAAAATTATACGTCTGTAACACCTTCCCCCGTAAGTCATACGTGGTAACGTGATACATTATGTTGCCACGTATGAGCCTTATAAGCTTGAAAAATGTCTCAACTATTATGAATTAGGGTTTAAATTGGAATTGTCAAAAAAAATAAACGGGAATATATTGAAATTATTAATCAATAACCCTTTAATGAAAATATTGATGAAATTAATATACTTAATAAATGTTTAATAAATATTTCCCACTTATTTCTTTTTCTTCTTTTTTTCTTTTCCCTCTTTTTTTAAAATGTATTTAAAGATTATATTTAATATATATATATTTATTTGTAAAACATAATCTAAATAATTAGTTATATGATATAATATGATTTTTATAAGATATGATCTATATATGATATATAAAATATAATATAAAGTATTTTTATTTATTTTTTTTAAATAATGTTTTTGAGATATTATATATTTTATAATAATTTTATATATGACTTATAAAATAAAGATTACAATGAAATAATATGTTTTCTTATAAAATAATGATTATACTGACGATTAATTATAAATAGTCTCCTAACGCATCTAAATCTCTTATCAATACATTTCTTTCAAAATCTATCTCCTCCTCTACACAATTTTTATATGTCTCGCTGAAATATAAGTAGTTTTGTATACAGAGTTTGCAATTTATTGCTGGTCCAGCTATCACTATTATTTTGTCACATTTGTGACATTGTTCTTTTTGCCGCATAGTTGTTACGAAAAACGGCCCACACAATGAGTGCCAATTTTCTAAGCGCACATAATAACCTAGCTCCTCTTCGTCTTCATTTATGGCGCAATCTGCGCATATGCGCCTGAACGGATACGTTTCTTCCAAATAGTGGCTTCCGGGTACAAGTGCCCGGAAGCAATGACATTCTCTTAGAACATTATAAAATTCGTGTTGACGGGGATCTACCCCGTCAATTACGATGTCCGCTGGTGGTTTCATTTTTTCTAAAAATATAAAAAAATCTGTATATTTTACTATTATACAATTTACCTTAAATTTTACCTTTTGATTGGAACTTTTCACTTTCAACGGTCACTTTCTTTTACTGTCGTTTCTCTTCCGAGTCTAAAATTCGACTGGGTCCTAAGCACTTGACCCTTCTTGCGTTCGTTCTTAAACATACGCTTTATCTGATGTGTTAGATGATCTGACAATAAGTAATACTAAACCTGTAGTGAGTGATTCACATATATGATTGATATCTTCAAGCATGGTGTTCTCATTTAAAATTTGATTATTATAATCGCGGGTAAATATTCTGAGTTTCATTGTGGATAATAATTTTTTTCTTTTCATTTTCTATTGAGATTATATCGTTTTGTTGTTTAATGTTTTCTGTTAATGTTAATGTTGGTTTGGTGTCTTCTTCATTTGTTTGAATTGAGATTTCTTGAGTTTCTTGAGTTTTAGGTTGAGTTGTAGGTTGTTCTTCCTTTTGTTCTTTTTCTTTAATTGTTCTTCTATTGCCTAGGTGAATTAATAAATTTGTTACAGAGTCCCATAGCGCTCCGATTAAATGTATAGACCATCCGTATATAGTATGAATTGCATAACCGTGTATAATTGTATCCATTATTAGTTTCATCGTTCTAAATAGGAAATATATTCCAATTACTCCGGCACTTGTATTTCCAACAAATGTAAATGTTCCCCAAATTTTCTTCCAAGTGTCTTCGGTTATTTTCTTCAATGAATTTTCATCAAGTAGGTGTGAAAGAGATATCCCTTGCGTTAAGGTTGGCTCTCCTCTTACGCCTCGAGCCACAGTGTTTAGAATTCCGTTCTTCTCTGCTGGAAACATGATATGGTCTCGTAAATTTTCTAGATCGTTGTTTGAGTATATGCCGCTCGCTGCCAATGATTCGGGATCGCTGTAATGCCAAGTTGGCTGAGACATCGGTCTCATTGTTTCTGGAGGTTTGCTGTATTCCAAAATTGGTGCTATATGATACCATCCGTCGTTTAATAAATACATTGTTGGAATGATCCTGTTGCATGATGTCTGGCTTCCAGTTTTAAAAAGTATATGTGTTCTTGGAGCAAAAAAGTATGATTCGTTACCTTTGAATACTGGTAACTGCTGATAACATTCCTGGGTGTGTCGAATTTTTACTTCCACAGGAGTACATTTGATGATATGTACAATTTCTCCCGAAATCACTGCCATAAATCCTGGTCCTTTCATAATTTGATAGGCAAAGTCATCAGGTGCGTGAATTGCAAGGCTGAGTGCGTTCTTCATTACTCTTCGTTCCAAATTGCAGCGTTGTTTGAGTACATCTGTGTATAGGTGATTTATCTGTGTGCGAATGTGTTTTTCTACATAAACGAATTTTGAGTTTACGTATGCAAAAATATTTAAATTTGCTACT